TATATATATATATATATAAACACACACACAAAGAAATGGCTTCATGGATTGGCTCAACTATGAATTCTTGCATTCATATATCTCTGCCTCCCAAAGTTCTGACACTCAATGGCAACTGGAGGCACTCTGCTGGTCAATAATGTTACTGCCTAAGTGCACCAGGTGGTTGGTTTCTCTCTAATCTTGGATCCAAGATTCCTTACCTACTGTCTCTTGCTTCATCTGAATCTGCCTTGCCTTTCAACATGTTTAGCTTTGGCTTCTTTCCTTCCAGACAAGCAACAGGTCAATTATCCTTTGACAAGCAAAAGTCCAAAGGAAAATCTCTAATAAGCTTTGTAAGACAAGAATACTAATTTCGAGATCTTGCTTCCAACTTTTCAGATGTATTTCTCAATGGTCTCTTATTATAACCATACTATAGCTTAATTAAAAGACCTATAACTCAGCAGGACCTCTCTCAGCCTCATGTTTTTGCACAGTTCATATTACAGTTTTACCAATCACCAGAGAGTTCCTAATGTTAAAAGACTTGAAAAATAACAAAATGTATACATGTATATATATATATATATTAGAAAAACTTTTTGGAGGAATTGTGAGAGAGTCAAGGTGATTTTGCATCACAAGTCTTGTTGTACGGATTTACTGGAGATTTCTTAGTAATATTTAAGAAACTGTTTAAAGCAATAATTGAAGTTAAGGTTTTGGAAATTTTCAAGTTTGAATGCATGTATGGTGATCAAAGAGGTTTTGGAGCTCTCAGGACTATCCATGGATTCACATGAATATTGGAATAGACATTTAGATTTTTCAATAAGAGTCAAGGGGGTTTTGAGTTCTTTAATGATTGACTGTATTGATTTCTTCAAAAATTGACAAGAACATAATGTAGAGACAAAGGGACCATTTGGTCATTCAAGGATGTCCCTACACATCCAAGAAAAGAAAGTCCTTTATTTTTGAGGAAATCATCAATTCTCTTCTTAAGTTCTTGTAAAGTATCAGCCTCCAATACTGTTGATGGCTATGCTTTCCAAAAGCTAACCAACCTTTTAGAAAAATCAAACTATCTTAACTCATGACAATAGACGTTTTTTTCCTAAATATTAAACTTGTGCCCTTTTATCTTATTTTCTTTAGAATTCACCATAAATTAATCATAGTCCTTTCTCCTATCAATCCCCCAGATAATCTTATAAGTTTCAATAAAATCACCTTTTATCCTTCATTTTTTTAATCCAACTCCATAAGATAACATTTCTATCCCCAATATAATTCTAGCAGCCCTCTTCTGAACTCTTTCCAATAAGACATTATCCCTTTTTAGAACATTATTCCAGTTGAGGCCTTACTGCCTGCCTAACTAATGATTTAGGTAAAGATTACTTCTTTTGACTTATATCAGTATGTCTATAAATATATACTACATTCTATTTAGTTTTTATATACTAGCAAAATAGCATGGCCTTGATAGCCTGAATGACCTATATACTACAATGCCAAGACCTTTTTCATCAGTCTTTCTATTGAGTGGGTTCTGATCAATATTAAACATGATCTAAATTATGATAAACTAAAGGTATCCTTTAAACCTACTATAATAAAAGTCAGTTGCCAGCTATTTGTAAAACTTATCAATTGATCCAAGTCAGTATATAGCATTTAAACACCCTTAATACAGGTGGAAATACCAAAGAGTTTAATTTAATTGAAACATTACTAATTTTTTAATTATTCCCCTACCAGTATCATTAATATAAATAAGAAAATGTAAAGATATAAGCACTGACCCAAGGCACACCACTAGTAACAAAGGTTCAGTTTTCTGGACTCCAAGCCATCTTTATTTCAACTGAATAGTATCCCCCCCCCCACTGATATGATTTTGTTAGCTAATCTTTTGTGTGATATCATATCAAAAGCCTTATGAAAATTCAAGTACACTAAGATGACCTACTTTCCATAGTGTAGGTAACAGTAACGTTCTCAGAAAAAAGTAAAGATTAAAGCAAGATTTTCTCACAGTGAATCCATATTGATATCTTAACAGGTCAGTGATTCAGATAGTTTAACTATTTTTCATAGGATGATCAAGGTCAAGAATACTGTTAGCATGTTTTCTAAAATAAAAAAGAGGTAACATTTAAAGGCTCAGCCATTCCACAGTAGCCAAAAAAAAACCCTCAACTTTAAAGAACTAGTTGTCATTTTAACATTTTGCATACCATTAACATACTAAAAAAACATTCTTGGTATTAGTTTTAAAATTATCATCCAATTCTTACTCAAAAGTCCATTTCCAATTTTTTTAAAACAAAATCCTTTTTTTATATATATTTATATTTTATTACATAGTGCCATTTGGGATCTACTAAATTTAAGAGTTAACTTAAACTAAGTTATTTTATTGCATTTCAGGATAGCCAGAAATTTATCTCTGAAACCCTCAGCCAATTGACACTGAATACAAAAGTTGAAGATGCTGTTAAGACTAGTGATCTTGTGATAGAAGCCATTGTGGAGAACTTAGATACCAAGCAGAAGTTGTTCTATAACCTTGACATGTGTGCACCAGAGTGAGTAAGGTTTTATTGCCAATATCAGGAAGTCTATAGTAATAATCATTTAACATGACTAGTCTTGATAAGAGTATAAACTATAGGATCTGACCACTAGCTTGGATCTTGCTGTATGACTAATTTTATTTAGTTAATTTTACAGCAAGAATTAAATTTCATTAAAATTAGATTAATGAAGACCAGTTCTTACAGACCTATAAAATCAGAATTCTTATAACCTTAGCACTTTTAAAAGGTGGACCTCTCTTCTTCAGAGGCAAACTGAAGAAGAAAGGTCCACCTTTCGAAAGTGCTTGGGTTATATGTTGTTGTTTTTTTTCATTTTATTTTAAGACTTCTTGAACCTACATATTTTTCTGACATCTTGAAATCAGAATTCTTAATACTCTTGGGGATGAAGGGAGTGGTCAGCATTTTAATAATGTTTATAATTAAATTTGCATGTTGGTCCAGACAACATAAAATACAAGTCAGATATGTGTAAAAAACTTATCTTTTGTAATATTAAAATTTACAAGACTTTAATGACTGGTGTTGTAAGCTTTCATTGTTTTGATACATGCCTTGTTGATTTTCACAACCATGGGGTACCTAAGCTATGTGTATGTATATATTGAAAACATTCACTATTTAAAGCATAATTGCCAGGAAGCCTTCATCTAGTATTCTACACATTTTATACAGTTATTTCATATAGGTTTTGTTTTTTCAAAAAGTTTTGACTATTCTAAGAATTAATTTATGATAAACTAACAAATCATGTTAAGAGTCATGAACAAGCAAGTAAAATTATGGCCTTAATTGAATGAGCAAGGTAGGAAATTCACTTGTTTGGTATATTTTGAATTGTGCACAAAGCTACACGAGAGCTATCTGCAGTAGCCATCCTTAATTTATCAGTAAAAGGTTAGAGGGAAGGCAGCTAGTCATCACCACCCACTGCTAACTTTTGGGCTACTCTATTACCAACAAATAGTGGGATTGACCATCACATTATAACACCCTCATGGCGAAAAAGGCAAGCATTTTTTGTACGACAGAGATTCCAACTCGTGACCCTCAGATTGAGAGTCAAGCTCCCTAACCACCTGACAATGCCAGGCCTGAAACTTTCTTGTAGTGTTTTTTCTTTTTTTGTTAGTTATGACAGTTTGAGATATGAATACTAAGAGTAGAAGTTTTTGTACAACCATATGGAATATCAACCTTAGCAACATGCATTGCAGTCTTGTAAACTTGAACAATGTAGTATATGGGAACTTTATTTCATATGTATTTTCTTGAGAAATTTATACATTATTAACATTTATTCCATGGCCCGGCATGGCCAGGTGGGTAAGACGCTCGACTTGCAATCTGTGGGTCGCGGGTTCGCACCCCCATCCCACCAAACATGCTCGCCCTTTTAGCCGTGGGGGCGTTATAATGTGACGGTCAATCCCACTATTCGTTGGTAAAAGAGTAGCCCAAGAGTTGG